CTTTACCTGCAAAGCTTATAGGACACACGACAACCAGTGCATATGCTAGTTGAGTGGGTTCCTCTGGTTAATATTCAGCAAGATGATAAGGCGCATAGCTTCGTGGTTTTCATCGCAACTACTTATCTTCGGGAGTTCTTCCACTTTTTTGAAGCCTCCACAAGAACTCCATCTTTCAATTCTTATAAACTCTGCTTTCCATGCTACCGTCAGATCTATGTTTTATACAGCAACTCTTACAGGGTGCTAAAGACAGGATTCGCGCCACTTGAAATGAGAACGAGGATGATTCTGTTCATAGATTTCGAGTCGGTTCCCGTTTTTCAAGAAAAAGGAATACCCAGGAGAGGATCGTGTTGTGGAAAGAGAACTTATGAGGTTTTCATTCTTTTTTTCAGTCTTCTATTCTATACTTCCCAATACTGTTTGCGGACCAATTCCTTTTAGTAGAAGACTTCTGATTTTGCCTTCATGAGCTATACAGAATGCTCTCACTATGGTTGTTGTGTCAATCTGCTGTAGAATGGATGGTTATCCGTCCAGCACTCTACGAAACTGAGAAAAAGTTCGACGTTTCCATCCAGAAGTTGTAAATCAGGATCAGAGATCACCTCTGCACGAGTGTCAAATTTGTCATGATGGCTCTAGATATAGTCTCCAGGAAGCCAGAGATAGATAAATAGGATATAAACTGGCATCACTGCACCGCACACTAGGCGTTTATGAGTACGACGTCGGACGGTGAGACGACCGGTGAGAGGCGGTCAGATCTCAGCAATCAGACCAACGAACACTCCCTTTATACGGTATGGAAACTGCTTCTTGCTCTGCAACTATTACACCAGAATAGTCTCGTCGGATACCGATATTGAAGCTTTCCATGAGGCAGCCAATCCCAAAAAATTTTCTGTAAACACTTTACAAGCGACAAAAAGCGGGAAGATAGACATATGCCAACTAGATGACAGGATCTTTGGTATTCGTGGAGAAAAGTTCTCATTACGAAATGATGGAGGTCTTGGCTCTGTCGTACAATTACCTCTTTCCATTCAAATTACATCCTAGGAGAGCTTATTACATGACTTCGTCATTCCTGACCTCTAACCTCTTCGTCAAAAAAAATGTTGTCATTATCAACTGTTACTGGCCAACCTGTGCAGCAACTGAGAGCCAATATGCCTTCTGCAACAATTACAAGGGAGTAGTCTGCGACGAAAAGCCTTTCTACAAACTCGATGTTAGGGATCTTAATGCCAGAATAGGAAGAGCGTGCGAAGATTAATATAGGATAGGGAAATTTTAAATAAGAGATCGAAATAAGAATTAGAACCACTTGTCTTTAACATGTCTCCTTCAAAAGAATTCATTTTTTGAGAATAATGGAAATAACAATGGAGATGGGATTTCCAAAGGGCACAACTCGTGCTCAGATCGACCATATTCTAACCAACAAAAGATGATGACTCTTGTACACTTCCGCGGAGCTATCATTGTGCACTGGATTCGATCCAGCTTTTTCTGTGAGAGGCTTCGTTTAATCCATACTCTGGAAAAGAAATCTGATCATCGCATAAAAAGAACAAAACATGTCGTATACGACCTGACTATTTCCAACGAAATCATATTCTCATATGACTGGTAGATAAACGAAGACCTTCCTAAAGGCTACAAGTTGCTTATCGAAGGAGTTAAAACTTGTGCCGAGTTTGTCTGAACGCCTCAAACAAATGGTTTCGAACGAATCTCCATCGCTACTAAGGAACTGCTCAAAAAAAGGACACTGAAGCTTTAGCCTACAGCAACACACCTAACGGCGGATAATAGATGCCAACTGTAAATATTTGCAAGAAGACTTATATGAAGTGAAGGTGGAAAAAGTTATTGGAAGCAGCCCAAAACGATCTAATCTGCGAAAGTACTGCTGATATGGGGCGACTAAAATGTCCCGCTATCGGCTTTGATGAAACAATGTGGGGATATTTCGAAACCGACTTTCCTTTAACCTCGGTGTGACTAATCAATATGTATTCTTTCTTTGTTGAGCTTACACGAGGTTGATAAATATGTTAATTTTCGGCTAACGTTTCGACGTCTTCGTCTTCATCAGAGTCGATGATCCGGGTCGATAGTCCACGCTTATTAGGGGATTTGGGGATACCTAATAACAAAATTGTTTTACGTCCTTTTTTCTACGAAACCTTTGTTGCACCACGCAATCTTGTTAAAGAAAAGCCACTCGGTATTCTTTTCTCTGAAGTTGAAGCAGCGATACAGTGCATGAAAAGAGGCACAGCTTCAGTACCCGATAATATTACAGGCGACTTCACTCGAGAAGGAAATTAGTAAAATGCATGTACTTTTCGCAACCCATATGAAATCAACATCTCGCCTATAAAAGGGAAAAATCCCAGGCTAATAGAGGACGTTACGCACGGCCATTCTGCCCAAGAAAGGATCTTCGTAACTACCCTCCCATATGCCTGTTTGGCGTACTTTTCAAGCTATCCAAGAATTTTATTTTATTACGAATATCGAGTATTTTGGATGAGGAACAACCAATTCAGCAAACAAGATTTCAACGAGGATTTTGCTGCATAGAACATATCAATCTCTGTGGCGGATTATGAAGGTCTGTCGGGTGTACCATCTGGTCCTCCCACTTTTCTTCTGCATAAAAGCGTCTGACGATATCTAAACGAAGGTAATTTCGTCAACTCTCGTCGAGCAAGGAGTGGATCTTTCCTGAAAATCTTTGCCTGACTGCTATTGTAGCTGCGGAGCAAAAATGCAGCAGTTCCTTTGACCCTTCACCATTCCTTTGAAAGAATGGATAGGCAAGCTGACAATGTACCGCTAAAGCCGTCTCTGGCACAAGAAGAGCGTACCCGTTAAAGTCAAATTCCTGTCGAATCTTCGTTTTGCAGTCGACGTCAGCATCATTTCAAAAAGTGCCAGCAAAGGCCAGACGGTGTTCAAAGATCTCAGTGAGCTGGGAAAAAGGACCGAGTTGCTCATCAATTTTACGAAGATCCAGTTCATGATGAACACATAGTGCAAAGGCATACAAAGCGTGCTGGGTGTTTCTCTGAATACAGAAACCATTCGCACATGTACTTCGAGCGTGCAAAAAACATAGTGAGCAAAGGAAAGGAGAAATTGAGCAGAAAAAGGACAGCAGAATAGGTGGCATGCGGGTCACTCAAAGAAGCCACCGACCAACTAACTGATCAAAAAATACAGGCTCAGCTTATCCACTCAGCAGTCCTCCTAGTACTGTGCTACGCACCGCAGTAGTGAGTTCATACGTAACCACGCCAAGAATAGTGCACACTACTCAGGGAGCGCTAAGACGATGTCTTCTGAAATATATGCGGGACGTTCGAGGCCCAAGAGAAAACACAACGATAGCGAAACACAGATTTAAGTACAGTGAAATTTCGAGAACTTTGACACCTGTGGTCTTAAGGCAGACCTACCCTGCATGTAAGCAGATTCCTCAAATATTCTAGTCCCCTGTTATTGTCGGTGCAGAGCAAGAAACTGTTTCCACGACATCTTGTGGACGTGCTCTTGTGGATCGTCTACTTATTAATACCTTTTAACACCTTAGGTTTGGTTACCTCATTGGTTACCTTCGGGTCCGATGTCGTAGAGGACAGCCCTCAGCCACTATATTGCTGGTTAAGCTAGTAGTTTCTTTTTCGGGATTTATCGAGTTAATTCCCGTTGGGAACTTACGCTTCATCAACACGAGTCGCTGTGTGATCTTGATGATTCTTAGTGAAGCACAGCACGCGACAGCTCGCTTGCACTAAGATGTCGATTTCTCCTGTTCGCTTATTCTTAGCTGAATTTGGGTCAGAAACTATAAACTTTTCAGCATAGGATACTCTGCTAGAGGATGTGTTGAAATTCTGCATGGCATTTCAACACAGAAATTCGAGTTACCAGAAAACTGCCTTCTGGTCTCTTTCATGTCACAACCTAATTTCATAACAAACGGAGGAACACATTAGATTAGTGAATGTCTCAGTACACGCATAGACATTCTTTTCTCACCGTTGTCATCAACCCAACGTTTTCCCAACTCATGATTTTATAGATATAGTACAGGAACCAAGGTAAACTGCACAGAAAGTGATTACGATATCATTAGCAGTGAGCTCTATAAAGCAATGGCTAAGTAGTGAACACAATGGTCAGGTTTTTGTAAGAATTTTCTTAGAATAAATTTTAAAAATCCAAATGTTGACCTCGTCCTTACGTCATGCATGTTTTTGTCAGTTTGTGAAAACCTCTTTACGAAAATATTTAAGCTAAGCTAGATTTTATTCAAATCAAACATTTAATAATCATCTCAGACACCAAGCTTCGTCATGACTCCCGCAGTTAAGCAAGACTACAACTTTAAGAAATGAAATGAAATGACAATTCAATTGACACAGACCAGCCGATGCATCTGGTGAAGAACTGGAAGCACCTCTAAGCATGGTTACCTCGAGCCTGAAGAACATCATGCTTGATCTGTTTTCACTATGTCAGTACAGATAGATGATATAGATCCTCAGATCGCAACCGAGCCCATACATAAACCCAACAACTTCCATGACTGCCTACATCAAGATGGTCGAACCAGTGGAAATTCTGATGTCGTACGACATCTGAAGGTGGGTCATATCAGTAACGAGACACGTTATCATCGTCTATGGTCCAAACACGGAGATCATGGGTATAGCTGCCTTATTTTCGAACCAATGTTTTTTATGGAGTTCATTCGCTAAAATCTTTTAGGATATGATGTTGTTGTAGCGAAAGTGCCTCTTAAGTGATTAAATTCTTCCGAGAGCGTGTAGAAGCACACGTATGCGTAGTGCATTCAGTAAGGATTTTGAGACTTGGAAATCATTTACGGAGTGCTGCATAGCCGAAAGGAGAGAGATTTCCTGCTAAAACAATATGTTCCCGTTTTCAGTTGGCAAAAAAAACTTCAAAATTCCGAGATGGATCTTGCTAATGATGATAACACTGCAGCAAATCACAGGTCGTCATGGATTGAGAACGCTTATAACAAATTGTCTCAGTTGTATGTCGTCAATTCTAATAGAAATTGCTTAATTTGTTAAGATAAGTCAAAGGAAAACGTCGAGACGAATTTAGTATCAAGTTGCCAAATGGTGTCGTTTAAGTGCTCCATGGTTGCAAACATGGACCGCTGCGAATCGTCGCGTGCTTGCGTTGAGGCTGGATAACATTCCATTCCGGAGCGGTATGAGATAGTGTTTTCGTCCGTTTATCTTTGTTACTTGGTTGACGTTGTGTTAAGTATGTTCATTTTGAGGGCAGCGTCTTAACTGTCCGGTTTCTATCGCTCTTCTTCTGAAGTCGGTTCCAAGTTCGGTGTGTTTCGATTTTTCTGTGAGTATTCTGGAACAAATCCAAGAAACCTTATGATATCATTTGAGCAGAAACTTTTCGTGTTCATACCTTCCACTTTACTAGTCAATTTCGAAATCTGTGCAAACGTTTTCACCGAATCCTAACTAATCTTCGATGCGTGCATGTTTCCCTGTATGGCTTGTTACATTATCGCCATGATTACAGTGCAGGTAGTCTTGGGTGACCAGCTGAGCTTAGTCGACATGTCTGAGCTTATTCGTCACGTTATTGGGCGTCTGACAGGTCGAACAGCAAAGAACAAGGTACTGTAGGGCTATTTTTCGAAGCTTGAAAGTTTTTCCTACCTAATTCAGTTGGTAATGCTAACTTATGTTCTCGTTTGTGATTGGGTGCAAGTATTCGAGTTCATACTTAAATGAATAGTTCGGATCCGGCCTTGATGCAGATTTTGCAGACCTGTTCAAGTCTATCGTACTTTACGTTGTCTACTTGTTACTTATAGTGTGCATTTCAGTACCCGGTCGCTCATATAGAAGGAGCCGATAACGTGATGCTCGATTCCTCAGTGCTCTGTTGCCCTGTCTGCTACAATTTGTTCGATTGTGCCCCTTCAGTGCTACAGTGTGGTCACACTTTCTGCGCAAAGTGTCTGAGGAATATCGCAGGTTTAAGAACAATTTCTCGTCAGGGTGATGGAAGAGTGAGTGGTTCTAAGGATATATTATGTTCCCATTGTTTTCTTTCTTTTTTTTAAGCCAGACATTGTGGTTTTATAACGTGTGTTTCTCATGTCTCCTTTAACTTGAGGCTACGAAAATAGTTCGACCGAATGGTTTCAAAAAGCGTTGTGAGTCTCTAGTTTCATTGCTCTTAGTTTGCTGATCGAGAGGCGGATAACGTAGTGGAGGTGATGTCGTTCATCACGAACATGGTGCTAATCCCCCCGCCCTGCGGAGTCGGCAAATTGGGAACGCTCGAGCCCGGCTATCTGAAGACTCCAATGGATTCGAGACGACCAGCATTCTACGACATTCAAGATGAAATGAAAATCCTCAAACAGTAGCCGAAGCTACATGTAGAGGTTGGAAAATCTTCGTGGATAATGGATGCATAAAAACGAATCGAATGTCAGAAATACTGCGATCCGCACAGTAGAAGTGAGGACGGGTCATATGAAAGGTTTGCGGATCTGCATATGCTGTTTTTACATATTATTGTGAAATAACTGCTTAATTTGTAAAAGTGGAGCCTTCACATATTGTACTGGGTTGTTTCCTCTGTACTACAGGATATTAATACTGTACTATTACTTCTTTTACTAGTTAAACACTTACTGATTTTGATGAATTCCTTACATTTTAGTCCTTCCCCTGCCCCATGTGTCGCCAGCCGTGCTTCTTCGAAAACGTTGCAAAAAACTACATTATTGAGGATATATTGAACCGTTTGGAGAAGCTTCCAGAAGAAGAAGAGTTTCGCGACAAATTAATTCTCGCAAATCTTCGTATAGCGGTATGTTCTAACTTTTCGTCAAGCTTCCACTGCTGCTGTGCACTTCTCCTTACAGGCATTTTTTTTGGAATCCTTTTTGTCCGTAGCATGGTGTTTATTTTTTGTGTTTACTATTTTTAGGTTGGGATGCGTTTTATTACCAACAGGGATATATTTAAATAAGAGGCGAACTTTACAATGGAATACTCTTCATATACAGTCCGCCTCTCTTACGATATCAATCGTTCTCACTATCCTGACATTAAATTTCAGTTCTATTTGTTGCAGTGAAATGAAAACTCGAATTATACTACGCTTGAGGTTTCCGAAACTTTCATTTGAGGGTCATACAATTTGGCTTATGTATACAGTCGCTTAAATATGCAGGAGTGAAATTCGCTTTTCTAATAGGCGTAAGCAATCTCTCTCTCTCTCCCTCTCTCTCTGTCACAGCTAATGCCACATTTGCACTCCACGGTGCACAGAGGAAATATTTGACAAACCAAGTAAGTTAAGTAGGATTTCACACCATATTATTAATACAGTCTCTACAGCGTTGCCTTTATCGTCCGCCACCTATTGTCCCGTTGATCATGGAGCGACTAGAGCGTGCGTCAGTAAATTTTGCATTTTTTCTTGTCGCGTGCAGCAGTCGCCCACTGGACTCCGCTTGTTCTAGGGACCCATTGAGTATCATATCTTCTTTCTAGTATTTTGGTGAAGAATTCTGACCATCTAGCGATGGTCTTCCTGCCGTACGTTTGATATCCTGAAGAATCCAGTCGTTAACGGCTCGTCTCCATCGGTTGTCGTCCATCCGCAGTACGTGTATGGCCCATCCTATCCTCGACATTTTGCCGCATAGAACAGCGTGTTTGATTTTTAATCTTTGATGTAGTTTAAAGCTTTGAATCCTTTCCTTCACTTACGTGATATGGTATAGTTCTAGCATTCCTTTAGACTACAGGTTCTATAACGGTTATATCCTGCTTACGCAGCTACCAGGTTTTTTACGCATACGTTAATACAGGAAGAGAAGTGAAGTCGAAACCATGGCAATGATGTTAAGTGTTCTTTTTGTTCTCTTCACAATATCCTCTATGACCTTGGAAGTTCCCCAATCGCTCAAATCGTTCTGCTTAATTCTAGATCTAAGTCGTTCATCATGTTGATTTCTCGAACAAGATAGCCGTAGCTGGAGCATTAGCAGAAATTCGCTCCATTGAGCTGAATGGGCATGCGAAACCATTTTGTTCCTAATGAATATCGTTTTGCGAAATTTATTCGAAGGCCATTATTTCCACAAGCGTTATCAATGTCGGCAAGCATTCGTTCCGCCTACCTAATTCGTGGCGTTATAAGAACGGCATCATCGGCAACGCGAACATGATATAATTGCCGACTATCGATTTTCACTATGTTGTCCTATGCGTTGTTCTTGAGGGTGGTGGTAAATAATTTTGGCGAGGTGATATCGCCTTGTCTAACCTCTCTTTTGACGTCGATGTCAATTTCGTTATAGAATGGTGATATCGTGGTTGTGAAATCTTTATGCAGCTCATGAAGAATTCACGATACTTTAACGAATCTTGTTATCCTGTGGATTTGCTTCATTGCACTGAATTCTTTTCCAAACGCTGCTTGCTCGCATGGATGTCCTTCATTCCAGTGTACTGTCAATCTTGTTTAGGATGACTCGAATGAAAAGTTTGTATACGGCAGGCAATAAGCACGTTGGGCGATAGTTCCCGATGTAGAGGTCACCCTTCTTCAAAAATAGCACTGTCGTGGTCCAATAACGACCTTAAAGAGGAATAAAGAATGTGCGTTTTTCTGTGTAGAAATTCTCTAACCCCATATAGAACGCTTTGTTCTCGTCATAGCTTGGCGTCCGTGCGTAGACGGCGGCGATAGTCAAAACCAGTGTTCATCCACATCCGTTCAATCGTAAACGTCGATTTAGTGTTCGAATAAATCGATGTTCATGGTGTTGACGAAAACGTTGGCGCCGCCGACTCTACTGTCGTATATTCGGTGAATCAGTTCTTCTCCAGTGTTATAGATGGTGTTGATTGTTTGGGTCGTCTGTTCTCGGCCAGGCCGATGACGTCGTACCTTATCCTTCTTGCTTGCTTGATCAAGTCTTCTATGCTGGACTCGGATGCAAGTCTCCGTGCATTGTAGGTACAGATCGTCACCTCAGTTCTTTGCTATTTAAGCAGCTTAGAATGGTGCTGAGATTTTTACAGCCTTTCCATGCTCGTCCTACCCTACGCTGTCGTATCTGGGGGTTCCTTCGGGATCAGGGGAATGACAACCGTTTATTTTACTGTGCTTAGCTTTCTCATACCCATGTACAACTTGTTGAGCTGCTAACGTGGGTGCTTGGTATACTCAAGCATAGCTTGTCAATCTCGGGAAGGCGACTTCCAATCGCTTCCCATGTATTTCGCCGTCACTTGGTTGGAGGTTTTTGGTCGTTGACTTGTAGAATATAGTCCACATAGAACACACCCACATACTCATATGTAAACACACCTGTTTAAGCATGTCAAATATACGTTAAATCGGCACGGCAGAATCAGGTAGTCTATCCCCTGGATTCACCTTCCCGGGTGTGCATAAGATCGGTTTTGGTTCGTGATTATACCCGTATCTGCCGCCATGGAACGGGCCACGTTGTCTCGCGACTAACCGGCAGGAGATCCCTCTATAAGAGAGATCCGTGGTCTAGCGAAAATACGGATCCTATGTGATTCATAGTCCTCGTCGTTTATTTTGACGCTTGTATCATTTCGTATTTAGTATACAGCTTACCCACCACAGATGTTTGCTGGACTTCATTATAGGAAACCTGTTGTCTATAATTTTTGCCAAAAAATGTTTTTAGGTGATTTTGTTAGTGATTACGCTGCCAGTGATTGTTGATGATGGGGAGGATCGGAACATTACTAAGTTGACTCAGTTTTTCTACCATATAGGTGTCAACATAGCCTCTTCGATTCTTCGACTCTTTGTCGATCCTATTATTGCCATAACTATTTGTACACATGGCGTGCTACGAAATTTTAAAGGAGAACTCAATCAAATTTCGAACTCATTCATCTTTTACATATTGTCGATCTCCTCAAACACCTTTGAAGTGAAAGAAAACCATATTTACATACACTATCAAAAGGCCGGAATGTTTGTACTACTTTCTTGTTTCTCTGAAACACAAAGAAATAAAACATACCCGTGTAGCGGAGTAGTTAAAGGTGTCATGCAATACACACGTGGTCGGTGGTTCCATCATCCTATGCTCCGGGTCCAAAAAGCTTTCCATCTCTTCGTATTTGACAAATTTATACCAGAATTGTCCAGGAGAACTCCAACACTGACTTTATACATCGGTTGACCACCACCAGTCATTGTATAGCCAGATGTGCCTTCAATCACCTCTAACGACGCGTAATGTAGTCCAGCGCTTGAACATAAACCCTTATCCTTTATCCTTTAGGAAAGAACTGACGTTGTGCGCCCGATCGTTTCTGTCCACAAACGTTTTCCTGGTCGTTATTTTCTATAAGTTGCGACATATACGAGTTGACTGAAGTGGTTGTGTCATGAATCGTGGACATCAAATTAATGTCTTTTATCTGTCCATTTAAGCATCATTATATTATCTTCACCTGCGTGCACTATAAATGATATTGATGCGATAGTAATGTTAATCCATATTTATCCACTGCAGATTTGCCATTTTCAGTGATCCGGTGATTGTGGGGCATTTTATTGTTTGACCACTCACCTTTGAGATCATGATAACCTCATCCTTTACGTACCATCGGGTTTGTTTTCATTCCTTCTCATCTTCCTGTTTTCCTCATTTTTTCCATTGTCATTTTGTGTAATCTCAGTGGTGAGCCTATCAGAAGTGAAGCTGAGTTCGTCTTCAGCCGAGATGATTCGAGAACATACAAATTTCAGTTTTTTATTAACAATTCACTGTTCTTTCTTTTTCACTGTTATCATATAGATCCAGTGGGTGTAAAAATATATAAGAATGCAGCAAAATACTCACATTTCTTAGTGTGCGCAGGTCATGCCTTATCTTAAATAACTAAGTCATTTGCGCTGTTTCCTCTTTACAGAGCTGGAACGTTTTTAATGATTCTTTCACTAGAAGAGCCTTTTTGCACTACAATGTGCAACTGACATTTTCTCTCCTACAAATATGATTGTCTTTTACAGGTGAAGTGCTTTTAAATATCACAAATAGAGCCATTATTAATGTACTGCATTTTTTCGCGCACGATGAAGTATATCTTACGTTAGTCATTAGTCGGAGCCAAATTTTTTTTTCCTGTCATTGGTTTCTCCGTTATTAGTTTTCTGAATATTTGAATGTAGGAACTCCTAAGCTTCTGTAATCTTGTCGAGAATGTTTCCTTTGGATGGACTTCGCTGTTTGACACATGTTCAGGGATATTATTGCCTAAATAGAGGATAGATGTTATTCTTGAATAAGATCCGCATATTTTATTTCTATTAAAGGCATACGTTTGTGCGGTTTAATTTCTAGAATCAAACCCGTTACTTTTCTGTTGTTGGTAATAGGTGAATTCGAGTAGAGCCCATTAAAGTTTTCATTCGTTAATGCTACTGTTCTCTCCATGAAATCTTTTTTCCTTCTATTTCTTTGAAAAGCATTGTAGGCTAAATTTGTGGTTTCCTGCTGTTTATGTCGTTCGGTATGTACTTAATGGTCTTCTGATTTCTATCAATCCAGATGACATTTAACCCGCTGAATTGCTAGGATTCGAATCTAGGTTCTGGCTGTCAGCATGTGTGTTCTTTCTTGCAACCGAAATTTTCATAGGTTGTTGTCTCTTTAATGCTTTGGAAGCTTCTCAATACTCGATCATCTCAACATGTTGTCGGCTTTGTGATGAGCGGAATTATGCTGTTTGTTTTTACTGCTCTTTGACAAAAGACGTCTTCATTTACATCCCAAATTTTGCTACTATTCGTGACTGCCTTTCCTAGTCAGTTGATTGCAGGCTTTTGGCTGAATTGATGTGCAAGGCGCAATCCCTATACAACAATTATAACACTGAATGTTTACATAGGTATAATTACGTATATCAAATATGAGGCGATCTAACAGAGTCGAAGACTCAATTTTCTAAATTCACCTTTGCATCAGCGGAATTATATTGTTGGTTCGCGTTCAACCTGTAACCGGTCGCCTAACGGATAAGTTGTACCACTTGACCTCTCGAAACCAACGGTTTACCGCCTCATCGTGGTTGGGGGAGGAGGAGGAGGAGGGGGAGGGGGTGTTCCTGGGTGTCGGACCGCGATACGGTGGGGGATTCGTTCCCGGCTGGGTCTCCCAAGCTGAGAAGGAGTACGCCGTTTCCATCAGGAAGTCTAGCTAAGAGTAAACTAGTACCAAGATCCACCGCCGTCCTTGTATCAAAGTCGCATGATTGCAAATCTCCCTCTGATCCACAAGGGCTGCGACTGCCTGTGGTGGTGAAGACCTGGGACAGACTTTCGCCAGGCTGACCTCAGGATTCCAGGGGGCCACAATTTCTTAACCAGCAGATCTCTGAAAAATGATGACTGTACTGGGGCCTGCACAACCAACGAGAGCGGACGGTTCAAGTATCAAGTAACTGAAATAAAATCTCACGAAAGCGGCATGATGTCGTTTGCACGAGACGACCGAAAAACATTTTGCAGTTGGAGTTTTAAAGTTGCCAGCAGTAGCAGCAATTTTTGTTTCCAAAATTACCTACAACATTGCAAGTATGTAACGACGTGATCGAAGGAATTCGTAATGGTTGTTAGCACCTTCTACCAGTTGTCCTTAGTTAATGAAGTGGTTTTAAAATCAGAAGCATGGGAATTTTGCTGCATGTATAAAATATGTGCTAAAAATACTTTAAAAAATAACTGTTATCATACAGCACTCTCTCTGTCCATTTAAGCATAGATTTCCCTTCAATAAATTTAGCAAAGTTTGCATTATTCGAACCGAATGGAAATGGTGTTGTAGTTTCACTTTGTCACAGTTAACTGAGAACTAAAGTATTCTTTTACAGCCAACTTGCGATGCGATACCCTTGAGTACCTTAACTAGTAGTAATGCTCTACCTAGAGCACTGTTATCGGTCATATTGCTGTGTTCAGTTTTTCGTATACGTTTCATCGCAATTAAAGAATGCCGGTTATCTATAGGGGTTGATAATTATAACATGTCGTTCGGATAAATGAAAGATTTATATTTCCAAATTGGGCATTTTGATGGAAATAGAAGGTGTTATTGCCTACCCAAGGTTTAGATTTATGACTCGTTCTCTTTCTTGTGAAGCTGTTATGGGGCAAACTTGATCTAGAATTTTGCTCCATATAACCATGTGCTGTTTGTTTAACGTCACTAAGTTTCAACAGCTGCTAAATTCGTTTTGATAGACCAGATTTTCCACTTTTTCGTCAGGCTGACTTAATGCAGTTTTTGAAGCTTATGGAATCTGCTGAGCGATCTTCGAGTTCATTCTGAAGTTTAGTTCCTATGCGTATGAATGGTTTGAAAAAAAAGCGAAAAGATGTTAGATGGATATTTTTGGCGAAAATCGATGTGTTAGAATCTCGATTTTCAAAGTGGTGTAAGTGTAGTAGTGCGGTATAACACGGCATGCAAGGTTTTTGTCCAATTTTGGAGACGAAAGCAACGTACAGCTTGCACTATTTAGCATTTTCCTTCGGGTTTTGAGGACATTTGTATGTTGTTGTCTAGCTGATAACCTATGTAATCATGCGTCTTCCAATTCTAGTAGTGTCTCGTTCCAGACATCTATTTTGTTCATCTTTCCTACATGCTTTCCAAGTACAGTTAGTGGTTCACTTCTGCGTTGATATCGATGTTCCAGAAGCAACGTGTTGAACAGAGATGTGCCGATTTGGAGTTGTCGAACAACAAACTAGTAGCCGAAATTAGAGAAAGGAGGAAGAAAGAGATGAGAAGCTATGCATCAATTCTCTTCTGTTTTGTATCCTATCTCCTGCTTGCACATTTATACTTTGAGTGGGAAGTGCACTATACGAGTACTTGTACGACAGCAGTGGTCTCCATTAGAGATCCTCTTCTGAGAGGCATAATGAGTATCTACCAATACGGTCGCCTACTTATTGGGCATTTTTTCGTTTGAATTGTTTGCTCATCGTTGATGTGTGCGGTAGTTTTTCTTCCTGAATTACGTCTTTATGCTCATGATCGCATACAGATGAGGTTTACTCTTGCGAGTATAATCCATCGGATCCAGTTCACTTTTATTAGGGATGTTTTAATGTTTCATCCGAAAGCTACTTCTTTACAACCATTTTTTGAAACTGAAGATTGGTTTCATTTTTATTGACACGCGATCATTCCTCTAATCGTGCTCATCAACGTATTATGGGTGTGTGTAATACTCTAGTTTCTAATAAAGTGTAAGTATTATATATGTATTGATTTTGTGTATCTCAACGCAACAAAAACAAAGTGGTTTGAAAATCTTATACAGGTACATAAGATGCGATAGTCTCCATATCTATGGAATAAGTACAAATTTCACTAAACCATTTCCATTTTGTTTGCATCTTCCGAGATTTACACGTTACACTGTATGAGATAGTAGCATATGAATATGTAGTAAATTGGTATCGTACACATTCGCAATTGAGGGAACAAGGATAAGAGAGCCTCAACTGTGTAATACACCCGCATACATGACGGATATAGAGAAGAGCATAAATAGCAAGTCATAAGAAGGAGATTCACATGATAAAAGCTGGGATATATGATGAGACGGCAGTCAGTTAATTTATGAGGTGTCGAACCAATTCCATTGGCAGTGGAAATATGATGGTTGAGTTTTTTTCCGCTCTGTAATGTAACGATGATTGTGATGAGAGATTCTCATATGCAAAATTGCTGCCTATGCCATTAAATTGTGTTGAATGTGATTTCATTTGACGTATATTGACTACGATTGCTAGTCAATGCCAGACACTAGTAGTATAGATGTGAAAATGTACAGCTGATTCGTTTGTCGTGTCTAGGCGACAGGATTTCTGCATTAAAATACTGCTTCTGAAACCTGAGTTCGATTCTCATGACCCCTACAGTCACAACTGCGCCATTATGGACCTACAAAGACGAGAACGGTAGTTAAACTCTTCCATGTGAAAAGAGGTATTCATTAGCTGAGATACGCCCAAGGAGACTTTTCATTTATCACTAACCACTTGTTTCTACTATCACGTGACTGAGTTTTCCTTTAAATGTTCATATATTAACATCATTTACAGTTTACTTATTTCAGACAGGTTCATTACTAGCCACTTTACTGTCAATTAAATAGTCTCTGTATTTGAAATGTTATAACTTTTAGTGCTTATTCTTTTTTCACATAGGATATTATGTGAAGTACAATCAGAAAGATGTTGAGATATGAGCAGAACTCGGAACCTCTGGGTGCCCTTGTATTTCACATAATATCCTGACCTGAAAAAGAAGAATAGGCGGTAAATAAAAGTTAAAACATTGTGATTTAAACTGTAACTTAAGCTTAACTGGGTTCAATGCCCACTTGTGCTCACCAGATCATTCTCGTTGGCGGATGATTGCTGATGGCACTGTTAGGGCAAAAAACTGGCTGAGAGAAAAGCAAAATGAGGGCCCATCTGAGTTCTCGGAGAGGATAATCGCGTTTGGAGTCCACTTGAGGTTCTGAGTTTTGCTCATATCTGAGCATCCTTGTAGTTCTATTTCGCATAATGCATATAAAACTTTTGTGCTCCACAAAAACAACGAGCCGATTGCCATCGCACGTGATTTCAACACCATATGTTCATGATATTCGCTTTCCGTCTATTTCATTGAAGACTAGTTAGAACTACTTACGCTACACTGTTTAGTGTTTGCAGATAGCGTAGCTGCAGTGCAGCCGGTGACGATGCGATCACAGTGGCGGCTTCACGAAGCGATCTGGATGCTTTTTGTTCACCTTCAGCTGCGATCACCTGTTAAGCAAATATGACGCGGTTAATATACTAGGATTCACTCTCCTATTTTGCTGTTATTTGGTTGTCGTCGCAAACGTTGCTACGACGAATCTCGTTCGAGTAGTTATAAATCGATTATTTTACACCCTCATTAGGATCCAATTAGCTACCATACTGTATTAAAGACATAAAGAAACAGAATCGTTAGTAACTCGAAAGACCGACTTTCTCTAAACCTCGGCATAGATAGTTGATATATTTATTTATGTGATCTTATAAACTGATCTTCTTAAGCTAACGCGAGGTCGGTACAGATCTTCGTTGTTGTTGTCGTTGTTTTCGATGTTATTGATCGTTGGCTGACATTTCGGCGACTTCGTCTTCCTCAGAGCCTGGACGTATTTTATGTTAGAATACTTTTTATTATTCGGTGGAAAAGAAGTTTAAAGTGTTAATGAAGATCAAACTTTCAAATAGACGCCATATTGAAAAGAAAGGCCACTCACCGCGATGTTATGTGTGGGACTGGCCTACACGTAGTTCACGTGGGGTCGCGACCAAGACACACCCTGGGGTCAAAATATCATTTTGAAATACGGCGCCAGGTCACGCGTGATAGTGAGGCATCTTTGGATCTTTGAAATTTATCCAAAGCGCCTCAAGAGTTTTGCGCGTTGATGTTTTTGATTCCTGCGCTAGGATCCGCACATTCACTTCGAAATCATCGCCGTTGTGCTTTTGTGCCCTATGCGTACCTAGGTGTTTAAACGGATTTTAGCTTTCCCATCTAGATGTTCTTTTATGCGGACACAAAGTGGTCTACCCGTTTCCCCGATATATTCCTCGCCGCATGCATTACATGAGATCAAGTATATTATACGTGAACTCATGCAATCTCCGTCTCTCCCGTTAGGACAGATTACACAGTTTTCTGAGGAAAGGAAGGAATCGCGAAGCCTGGCACGAAAAATTGCCATTTCCAATGGCTACGAAGTAGAAACCACTCGGGTTAGAGGAAAACGTTGGGTAGTTTCCCAAAATAATATTTCAGACGAAAGTATGATCCCCTTTAAGCTGCCCTTCATATCAAATGAAGTAAGTCACGCCATTAAAAAGTGCTTAAAAAAAAGTGGTCTTGAAAATTATGCAACGATGATTAACATCCCACCCAATACCCTACGCCGCCAGTTAGTTCGAAACTGTCTCTATGATCGTTTGTGCACCTCAGAAAACTGTACGATCTGTCCTAACGGGAGAGACGGGGATTGCATGAGTTTAGGTATAATATACTTGATCTCATGTAATGCATGCGGAGAGGAATATATCGGGGAAACGAGTAGACCACTTTGTGTCCGCATAAAAGAACGTCTAGATGGGAAAGCTAAAATCCGTTTAAACACCCCTCTAGGTACGCATAGGGCACAAAAGCACAACGGCGATGATTTCGAAGTGAATGTGCGGATCCTAGCGCAGGAATCAAAAGCATCAACGCACAAAACTTTTGAGGCGCTTTGGATAAATTTCAAAGATCCAAAGATGCCTCACTATCACGCGTGACCTGGCGCCCTATTTCAAAATGATATTTTGACCCCAGGGTGTGTCTTGGTCGCGACCCCACGTGAACTACGTGTAGGTCAGTCCCACACATAACATCGCGGTGAGTGGCCTTTCTTTTCAATATGGCGTCTATTTGAAAGTTTGATCTTCATTAATACTTTAACCTTCTTTTCCACCGAATAATAAAAAGTATTCTAACATAAAGCACGCCCAGGCTCTGAGGAAGACGAAGTCGCCGAAATGTCAGCCATCGATCAATAACATCAAAAACAACGACAACGACAACGAAGATCTGTACCGACCTCGCGTTAGCTTAAGAAGATCAGTTTATAAGGATCGATAGTCTTCATTAAATCTGCAGCTCCCTTAATGATTTTATGATTTGTACACCTTCAAGATGATTTCGTGTTGGCTTCGTGCACAGACTGCGTTTGGATTGAACCTTATTGCTTCTGCACCAATAAGCAAATGATTTCTATTCAAACTCACCTTCGCGCGAGCTTCCCTTGTCGCCTCGGCCTCTGCAGCCATCGCTCTTTGAAGTTGCACTGGCAATCGCACATCTTTACTGAAAGGAAATCATTTAGCGAAAATAAACAATTGTCACGTTCCTATTCAAATTACGTAGCTACCCACATTTCCACACGCTCTACCTTGATGCCCCAACTCTCTGTAGCTTCGTCGAGCATAGCCTGAAAGATAACATATAGTTGAAAGCGGATTGAGCATCTCTGCCAACTTTAGAAATCGCTTTTAAGTGCTTTTATAGGAGCGCACCACATACACTTAATGTGCACGTCCTTCCAATCTGTGCTAAAAGAGCATTTATTACTTGTTAATTCACTAACTTGCATTGATATGGCAATTGCATCGCGATCGGAGAGAATTTCAGCTAAACTTCTCGTTCCCAGCATATTACGAAGTGTCGTTTGTGCAAGCAATCTAAGTCAGTTGTGTTTTTCGAAATAGTCACGTCTTAGCTGTTTTATTTAAAATCAACAACACCCACCTCGTGGAGTGATGTGCGTTTTCAACGTTTGCAACACTAACGGTAGCGTTCGATACACGGTAATAGACAACGGCATCCACCGACGTTGTAACGGAATCCTTTGTGAGAATCTAAGCGAAGAAATCTTTGACTTCGATAGAAGAGGTAGGGTTTATGGGAATGAGTGACATTGTTTCGTATTCACCTCTTGTGGTGGTACGTTGAAAGACACTGTGCGTAGGTCAACTTTTGTGTACGATTCGATGCAAGGTAGTACGAAAAATATCCCTGTAATTAAAATATTCGAATAAAAGATTATTGAAGCAGACTTCGAAAGAAAGTGTATTCTCATGTACTTTTTAAGGATATTCACACTTCTTTTCTTAAGCTTCCAACTGTTTTATGAAAATCGAAAGAAATTTTCAAAGCATGAAACTATGCAAAAATTTATGAGAAATAGCTTTCCGCGACTTTAGCGGTGCGAAATAATGATGGATAGCACGAACTCGCTCCGTTTTTTGTTTCATGGTGCCAATCCCTGAATGTCTTGGAGGCTAAGTGGTTTGCAGCAAAGCGCGCGGTCATGATTTCATTCTTGAATCAATCATGGAGCTTCGAAAGTTCTGCGAAAACTCGGAATGCTCATCTTCTATGCACCATTTAGTGCAATAATAGTAATTCTTTCAACGCAAAACATAAAAAATCCACCTACGCCATTTACCTGGGCCCTTTGAACCACCTCCTATCAATCTTCCAAGGCGAAAAATAACCGCTCTTTCGTATTCTTGAACCACCTACAAAAATGTTACATCGTCCTTGGACTAAAAATGGAGGAGACCGGTTTTTCAGTTTGAAATGCAATACCTTTAGCTTTGAAGAAGTGACGCAACAAAATGAAGTGCTTTTGTTTGATTGTGTTCGAATTCAACTTAATTTGATTATTGTCTTCTAAAAACCATTGCCGCTTACTTTTAAACAGAAACATATTGAAATCGGAAACGATGCCAGCACACAAAACCATGAGATGAACATAAACATCCATCCACAGAATCCCAAACCGGCATCATACGATGCGGCTGAAAACCGCTAGTAAATGTTGTTAAAGAAATTATTTTATATCTTATCAGTCTTTATTTGCTATTAAAACACAAGGAAATCCTATTCATCCATAGTCACACAGTCGATTTTATGAGGAAGATAGCACTATTAAGCGCAAAAACATTCATTTAAAAAAAAAATTTTGTCTTTGAAATTATATATGAAAAAGAATTGGTTGAAAAGGTCATATTAAGAGCGTGAAACCCCTCATTTCGTTCGATTAAGAGTGCAAATATTGGTGATCGGGGAGCGTGTACCACGACGGTAAGAGGTGTCGCGTAATATACACATGGTCGTTGGTCCGCTCCCATGCCTCGAGCTAACGAAGCCGCTTTTTCTCATGCCTTCGGGGTTATGAAATTGACACAGAGTAATCAAACAGTGACTTGATACTTCGATAGGACACCGCAAGTTATTGTGCAGGGTAAATCTGGATTTAGTCGACTCTATAATACTTAATGGAAACAAAAACAGTGCGCATCCCTAACGTGCTGATCAACGCCAGACGCTTTATCCTTTATCGTTTTGTTGCTGGGGGCGGACCACCATCCTTTTTTGTATTGGCAGGTGTTCTCAATTCATCATAGCGATAGATTTGTTTCAACCTCGGGACCAAGGAGTCTGTGCAAGTGCTAATCGAATAGGTCGGCTCTTATGGTTTTTTTTTCTGGATGATACTAACCAAATTTTTTGTGCTCACATGATTTTTTTTGTACAATAGTACATAGATTTTCCCCGTGTCTTGCAGTTTCTAAATACACAACAATTCCAGTCATTCTGACCACTAAAACGGAACATATCGAATCCAGCAAGCGTTCCCGACAGGTGGAAACCAACCACGCTGGAGCAAAGTGTTGGAACAACTTCAAGTTGTTATTGAATTTGGCTTTGTTGTGGTAGAGCGTCTTAACTGTTCAAAAAGATTATTTAGTAGAAGCCTATCTACACACTCACGGTTCATATGTTTTGGATAGTAGCTAAGTTTCAATTGAGCGAGTGATTGTCTCCGTGCTTCTCGTTCCTCTTTCGCAAATATGAGTGGATTTAGCGTGAATCTAAAAAATCCACCTTGAGGACATCAAATTCGAAAAATCTTCTGAAGACTTTATGTGCAGACTGATGGATTTGCTTTGTATCTAGTCATTTCCTGCCCTAGTACACATTTTATGAGATAGTACATATGCGAAAGAATTGATCGTTATTTCTGAGATTTTTTGACGAATGATCCTTATTTTTTCCCTTGTCACCTTATTCTCGTGTAATCCGTCCTCGTCATGAAATGCGACACAAGAACAGGTACGACGAAAGATATTGTTGAGGATTTCGACTAGCGTTATCCATAGTGATTGGGTTGTATTGAAAACATGTACGGGTCTGAGTTTATATCGAAAGAGAGGCACCGCCAAAGTCGCTATTCCATTGCTTGCAGCTGTTGGGGATTAGAGCCGAAGCGACACTGATTCGTTGCCATCTTTAGCATCTTCAACTCACGAATACAAACAACAGACCAAGAAAAAACAACCACAAGAGCAAGTTCCTACTCTGATTTCGTACATAAGATATAAAAATGGAAAAGCTTTTTTTCACTTACCGCCGCCCCATTCGACCTCGAATAGGTACTGTTGGCACTTCGATTTGTATTTTTCCATCATCGTCGCTATCCATTAAACGTTCACTTTCGTTCGACGTTGTCTCAGCAGAGCTTGCGGAGTCTAAAAAACGAAGCCAGTCCTCCCTTAACGGATCGAAGGAGTTTTCATATGCACATCTCATAATAGAGGCACCTTTAATAACAATGGACGATTTCAAAAGAAGAAAAAATATCTTGATTAGCTTATTAGTTTAGTTAGTTTCTTGTTAGTTTCAGTATTTCACGCGCTATGATAACTGATAATGATCCTGACTGCTGCAGCATAGATTTTCTGGAAGAAGAAATGTTGTCGCCGACGGACAATCACTGTCAACAACAACCGTCCTGTACAAAAGAGCACTGCCGACTGACGTTCATTATTCGAGCGATGTTCCACTGGATTCGACTCATTGCGATCATCGGAAAAAGGAAGACCTGTGGACAGTTGACTCGGATCAATTTGGCTCTAAGGAAGGCCAAGGTGCCAAAGCATTAGCCGAATAAATTTCTTTATCAACCTAGTGTTAATTTGATAATTAAAGAAAGCAAGAATAAATGTGGCGCATCGTTGCGTGAAAACCAGCCAAATCACGTTGACTTTTGCAAAAACTGTCTGAAAGTTGAGGTTTTTCATAATTTTTAACTTGAAATGGGAGGTCTGTCAGATTAAAACCCATGCAAAAATGCTGATTAAGGATTTACTTAGGGCGGCCTTCTGGAACTAAAACTCCTACGAAAAAAGTCGTGAAGGGAAGAGCCTTGTTATTTTACCTAAATAATTAGTGCGGTATTAGTAATGGGAAAGAAAACATTTTCAAGATATTAATAAGTGGTGCAAGAGATTTTGATTTTCGATAGACGTATTTGTTAATGAGCTACTGCAATGTCTAAATATTCATTCTTATGTGGCAATTTCGGTAGAAGCCGAAAGGTTGAATATAGTACTTTTGTGGATTTAGTAAAATTCCTCTTAGCAGCGTAACACAACATTGCGCAGTGGAATACGCGGGAGGGAAGGTAGCGCGACTCAACGTTTCAGAGGCGATGAATGTTTCAGACGACGCTACATGACTTACAACTATCGAAAGTAGTTCAGTAGAACGTTTCAGCGCTAATATATCGGATATACAGCAGGAACTACATTTGGCTTGCATTAAAAATTTAAGTAAGAGAATGTGAGAGAACTGCGAGTGCAACTGAAGCCACATAGGCGTTCGACCACCTTGGCGGTTGGCGATTGCAAGCCAACAAAACGAATGGAGATGCTAGGGTGTGCAGATTATGTGAAGACAGGTTATCCAAATATCTAACCAAGTATGCATTGATAAGATATAACGATGTGGATGTGTTTGAATGTAGGAGATTGGTGTGAGCAGAAATGAACGGCGGCGTTGGGCGGGTAGAACTATGGGTGCGCCGGCTTCGTGGCGTCGCGCAGGCATGGCGGCGACTTAGACGACGTATGTACGGGCGAACGACACGCCACTACTTATAACTATGATGGCCATGCCGACACCACTTCGGTATCCAGAGTGGAACGCCAGACGGGGCTTAAGAAGGCCGCTAGAGCGCCCAATATGCTAAAACACTGAACGGCTCAATGGAAAATGTTGAGCTTCGCTGAGAAAAGACCTCGCACAAACACACATCACACAATACAAGACATAACCACAGATAATACCATTCGACGTTTTCCCTTTTTTTTTTTACAAAAATTCAGTCCCAACGACATTTGTCAAATATTTAAACCAAATATGAACGAGATACCAGGATTTAGATTTGGTACTCCTTACATTAGAGTCTGGCTTTAAAAGCTCCAACTATATCTTTTAGAATATAAATTTTGGAGGCTTGCAATGATGACTAAGAAATAATTAGGTTTTTTCTGCTTAGACGACAAGCAAGGAACACATTCAAAGGAATCTATTGCTATTTGTTACAATCAGTCTTCTTTCCAACAGTGAGAATACAGGAGAAAATTTTTGTCGACATGCTTATTTCCTTACCGTGCTAATATTAACTAGCATTTCTTTTTTTCGCAACGATCTTACTTACCAAGAAGGCGAAACTAATCACAAAAAAGTACGGTAAGGCTTCCGTAAGAAGATAAAGTGTTCAAGAACAATGTAGTTGCAGCTCATGGATCTCCTCATTAAAAATGACGAATCAGTCGGTTAGCACGACATATGATAGAAAATTCGAGCTAGTTCGTGATGATTTTGCTAACTAACAGAATAATAACAGAATAGCAATTATTAAGGCATGCCGTATAAAGAGAATATAAAGAGAATCAAAGGTAATCGAAAGTGGAAGGAACGGTGACAAATCCAAGTGAATGGAGCCTATGAGACCCTTGTATCGAAGTTTCCATGATATGTTTAATGGAGAGAAAATACTGGATTGGTTCATTGTGGGAGGTTGAAAGTTGGAGGTTCGAGGTTCGAGTTTTATCTTTCCTCAATCATTGGCATGCGTGAAAAATCTTGCACTTTTTTGCGTCTGTCTTTTTTGGTCCTTACCGTCTGTTTTCCTTTTCTTTGGTATGGGATGAAAAATAGTGCCTAACAGCGAAATCGCATTTTCCACTGTGCTACTGTTTCCGTAACAATACATAGCACTTGAATTTGCAAAAAATTTACGAAACAAAGTGTTTTCCAAATTCTTCGAAGTTCACTGAATCAGTGAATTGACTTGGTCAAGTGCTTAAGTTTTAGTTCCTCATATTTTAAACATAGTGAACAAACAGACAAGCAAACGAACAAAAGACGATTACTAATCGCATTACGAAGAGCTTTTGAACAACCGAAATGGGAACCTCGCGAATCTCCATGGTGCTGTCGGGCCTAATGTCGTATTTCAGACTGATATGCATGTGGATGTTTCCATTTTGCCTTTGTTGCGGAAAACAATGAATTTTCGAAATATCGAACTTTCGAGTTCGAATATCTTTTATTCGTACTATTTTCAATAGAATGAAGAAAGAATAGTGAATAGAGGCAGGAAAGATGAAATAGATAAAAACTGAAGTTCAGCGATCACCTACAACGATTAACTGCTCCACAAAAGTGTGCATCTCACCAGTGCCACCAACAACATCTGTGCATTGGCCGTTAGTAGGGCGAACCACTCCTCCCTATCTTGTTAGTTTTCGAATTTTCGTTGCAAGTTACACATACATCTTACTTCACGGAGATCGTGGCCAAGACACCATCGGCAACGAAGGGGAACTGCGACCTCAGCCGAAGCGGCTATTAGGCGTGACTATATGTGAATTGGTGGATGCACACGGCTCTTACTAACCCATCACCAAGGGCACGTATATTCGTTTGGGAAGCTCACAGAGATTCCCCAATGCTGCTAACACAATCCAATGAAAACCGACTTGCGCAAGTGTCGAATAACCAGTCGCTACCACTACGTTCGCTAAGCGTTGCCTAATGTGCCAGGTGACGGTGACGAGAAATGGGTGTTCTATCGCCAGTGACGCGCACTGCCCTCCCAGCCGCGAGAAGAACAGCTGTAAGTGCAGTCCAGACCAAACTGACACACTCACAAGGGACTTCAGCTCTTCTTTTTAGGAGTAGTATGGCATGCTATATCATAAAAAGTCGTCACGCAGCGAGCGGGTAAACTCAGTCTTCTACGGAAATTAGCTGCGCTAACAAGATGTTGCGTGAGAGAAAAGCAACCGAGACAAGCTCTAGTTCATCTACACCATGACAACGATCCACCACATATGACTTTGTTAGGTGAAGAAATTCAGCTGTAAATTGATGTCAGACTCCTTGTGGACTTCATCGGGAAAAAAGTGAGAAGTAACACTCACAGTAACCATTTGATCAAATTTTACTGCCTCAAATCTGAACTGGAGCAGTTCATCGACTATCGGGCAGAAAAATCCTTAAAGAAATGTATTCAGTCTCTGTGTGAGTGTTGAATTCAAGTGAGCGATAGAAATTGTGGTTTTATCATAATTTTAAACGAATTTTTTATTTTAAAAATACTGAAAGTATCAAATGTAAGGAAAAGTGAGTGAATTTCCCGACAACCCAATACATTGCAGCACACGATGGGAACTTGTGTTCAATTACGCTAAACGGAATGGCGGAAATCAGTGAAAAAATACCAAAATTTTGTTATGTCTCGGAAGGTTTACGAACTCCGGTTATGAATTGACAGGTCTATAGAGACAGAAAGCTTGTCAGCGATCAAAATGTCAAACCGCACGACTAGAACACTGAAGTGGTATTATTTCAATTCCGCCCTATATTTCCCAGAATAAGCGTTTGCCTAATCCAAGTTATAGCTTCGTTCCTTTGCTCACCTTTTCGAAAATTCAAAGAATCTTGACTACGCTTTGATTAATGTGCTAACTTAGTGAACCTGGAGGTCATGGGAAACTTCTGTTCACTTGGATGCCAGGATATACCGTCTTTAAGGAGAAACTTTTAGATCCTTGCATCCACTACATTTTCTGTTGAACTGCCGTTTTGCTGATTGGCTGAAGTTGCAACCACAGAACTGTAGGAAAGAAAAAATTAAAAAGTGGCGAATAATAGCAAAATTTGTACGGCTCGAACAAAATCGAACGTGACTAGGAAGTTGAGCGTTCGCCGAGTGTTCCCGAGAAAACAGAAGAAGGAGAAAAGACTGAAAATAAACATGACAGAGGAGAACATAACATTTTATATGACTTGTATTGTTGTACATATAGTATTAGCGTTGATATATTTATTTATGAGATCTTATAAACTGATCTTAAACTAAACTAAACTTATAAACTGATCTATAAACTGGCCAGTCCCGCACGTAACATCACGGCTCTGAGGAAGGCGAAGTCGCCGAAACGTCAGCCATCGATCAATAACATCAAAAACAACGACAACGACAACGACAACGAAGATCTGTACCAACCTCGCGTCAGCTTAAGAAGATCAGTTTATAAGATCTCATAAATAAATATATCAACTATTTATGCCGAGGTTCATAGAAAGTCGGTCTTTCGAGTTTCTTCTCACATTTTCCTCTTAGCACA